TGCTACTTGAAACTCCAACATTACGTTACAAAGTACAGAGTATAAATACGCTTCTGAAATCCCCTTCCTGTTTGCGTTCGTCAACCCGTTCACTATTATTATCATTATGGCTTTTACTTTTTGTTACAAACTCCCATATAATTATCTCTTTTCGACATTCGTCTTCCCCATTCAACATAAAATACTGCTTTACAGCAAATGATCTAAAGTGGGCAAAAGAGATAGCCATCTTGTCGGGACATGACGAAGAAGAATGTGATCGCGCGTGGTAATTTTAAATTATTATTTTGTATAGAACTTTCCGAGAAGCCGTTTTTCTGGAGATTTTGAGTTTTGTCGGGAGTCTGGAGATTATATAAAATGTCGGAAGAATCCAGACGAATCCCGACCATCTGGCAACCCTAACTCCGCCCCTGGTCCTGACCTCGACGTTGCGCACCACGCCGTCCGGTCCAGGAAATGTCTTCGTGACGACCCCCCGCGGCTACACGTTCCTAGGTAGGTTGCCATCCTTAACCACGACGAGGTCCTTTTTGTATTTGGCGCTGCTGAGCGTCTCGGGAGTCCCCGCTAGCGACCAGCGTCGGCAAGTACTCTTTCACCCAGCGCCACCAGTACTCGTCGGCGAGCCCCTGCGCCGCTCTCCACGCCCGACGATTGATAGGTGTGCACGGCGCGGTGACTGGCAGGCCCGATGGTCCCAACAGGATGAAGTGGTTGGGTGTCAACGCCTCTTCGTCGTTGATGTCGACCGGTACGTGCGTCAAGGTTCGAGAGTTAGCTGTATTTTCTGCTTCCGTAAGGAGCGTCGCTAGCGTCTCCTCCCGTGGGCTCTTCTGATGTAGAGTGGCTTCGAGTGCGGTTTTCACTGAGCGCACTAGACGCTCCCATGGGCCTCCCTGGTTAGGCGCGCCCGGTGCGATGAATTTCCATTCTGTTCGCCAAGTCAGCGCGTAGTCCTTCAGCTGCGGTGCCCACTCTTCCATCGCCCGTTGTAGCTCTGTATTTGCTCCATGAAAATTTGTGCCGTTGTCGGAATATATGACCCGTGGCCACTCACGTCTAGCCGCCATGCGCCGCAATGCCGATATCGCCGAGTCCGTTGTTAGGGAGTAAACTAGTTCTAAAGGAACCGCGCGCGTCATTAAGCACGTGAATAGTGCTACCCACCGCTTTTCGTGCCGTCGTCCTATCGTAACTATCAAAGGCCCGAAATAGTCGACTCCGGTGTAAGTAAATGGTCGCGCAAACGCCCCTAACCGTTCGGGTGGTAGGTCTCCTGTAACCGCTGGCCGTGGTGTCGCCTTGCGTATCCTGCATCGCAGACATCTCCCCTCCGCTTCTCTTACGGTCGGTCGTAGTCGGAGGATATGAAATCTGGTGCGCAGGTCGTTGACCACCCTCTCTCTGTTGGCGTGGCTTGCTTCCTGATGCGCCTTCTCTACAAGTAGTTTCACGAATTGGTGGCGTCCATTCAGTATGGTGGGTCTATTCATCTGGCCGTCCACGTCGGCTGCGTCGATTCTTCCCCTGGCTCGTAGTATTCCATCTTCCAGTATGGGGTCGAGCTTCCTCAGTGCGCTGCCGGTGACCAGGTTCTTCCCCCGCTGAAGGCGGCTGATGTCTTCAGCGAAGCTCTCGAGTTGACTGCGTTCTATACACATCTGCTCTACCCTCTGGATATGCTGCAATGTCAGTCCTTGTGCTCTTCTTCGTATGGCATCGATGAACTGTAGTACTCGTGCTGTGGCCCTGATCAATCTCTCGTAAGAAAAGAATCGTTCTATGTCTGGCATGTGTGAAGCGTCCTTGGTGTCGCTCTGGTGCGCCACGATTTCCTCCAACTCTTCATTATCCCCTGCCTTCTCTTCCTTCCGGTGAGGCCATCTGTCTTCGTCCTCGTAAAGAAATGACGGTCCTGTGAAACATTGGTCGCTTTCTTCTTTGGTCACGAAGTTCATGCGCGTTGGCTGATCTGCTATGTTCTCCGCAGTCGGTATCCACCTCCATTGCTCGGGTGATGTCTTTTCAGCTATCTCCCCTAACCGATGAGCCACGTACGGAGTGTAACGCGCCATCATTTGTCAACCTTCATCGTTTCCGAGGGACTGACACGATGGGTTCGTTGCGCATATAAAGATGGAGGACGTGTACGAAGATTCACATTGATTTCCGGTCCAGTAATGATTTCTTATATTTACGCGAACACTACACATTTTTAAATAAAACTGATTTTACGGATTTTATCGCGTATATTAACTTATTTTTATATTCCCGACGTTTCGGGTGCTTTCCAGCACCCGTGGTCACGGGGGACTGAGGTGTTTGACGTCCTGCTGTCATAGTAGTTAGCCCGGCTACCTTCAGTTTTTTAGTATTAATTGTTACGGCCTACGGCTGCTCCTCCAAAAGCTCAAATCCTCTGGGGCCCATTCAGCAGAGTTTCAACGAACAGACGTAGGTCGGGCCTCAATATGGCCGCGTGGAATTTCTCTAATTACAATAAACAATAAGGGGGAGCGTTCTATACTACTGCCATTCAACAGGGAGAACATTAAACGGAGCTTACTTACCTATATCCAAGGCGACTGGTCCCTCAGGATTCGGTCAGGTCGCATGTGGTTGTGTGGTGCAAGGGAAATAAGGTGCTGTGATGTGTATCTGGGTGTGACTGGTGGTGATTGACCTTATTAGACCTTTGCCGTCGGCAGCAGCCCGGACGTCAGCACCGCTCCAAATTGAGGTAATCTTCCGCGGCGCCGTCCACAGTCACTTTCTTCGTTCGTCACGATGACAGTCCATTAACTCTATCGTACGATTAACAAACTTACAGAAGCCACTAACTCTCGTTTGTTATAAAGTTTAACACACAAAACGAACACGGAGTGTCCGGATCAAAGGTCACTACCGTTTCACGTGGCAACAGTTATTTCTAGAATATCAAAGGCCGCACTAGCTAATATTGTCGAATGCACTTATACAGATTCTGAGTCGGACCCAATAAGTCCCGGGAAAGGCTATCCAACAAGGAATGTGCGTTACAAATCCTAGACAGTATATTTACTAGACGCCTAAACTATTCCCGCCGCGGTTCCCGCACAAAAATTGACAGCGTGCTGACGTTAGCACAGCTGGCAGACGACTCCTATTTGCCCTCGAGCGTTCTACGCACGACCGAACGTCAAACCGGTATCGCCGAGCCGCGCGCCCTCTGACGTCAATCCCGAAATCAGCGTTCGGGCGGAAACATTAATTTTTGGTTCGATTTACGCAGAATGAGCTTACAATATCTTGAAGTCTAGCAGTGGTATACTTGGGTTTGAATTTGATTTTATTAATTATGGGATCCCAAGCAGATGGCAGCACCCATCCATCTTCTCTATTGAAATTAGGATGTTTTTTAATTTCAATAGCCTCGCGAATCATCCTTGGGAGGAATCGGTGTTCTTTTGCGAGGATTTGTGGTCTATCAAATCTAATGTAATGGCGGGGACGATCTTGAACATGTTCACAAACTGCAGACTTCCCGATACGTCGGTGCTTCACGTCAGCTATATGTTCTTTAACGCGTGTTTTAATAGATCTTTTTGTTTGTCCTATGTACGAGAGACCCCATTCAAAATCCAGCTTGTACACTCCTGCATCTTGTAGAGGGATATGACACTTGACGGATGGTAAAAATTGACCAATCTTCTTCAGCGGCTTGAAGTATGTTTTAATGGAAGCTCGCTTCAAAATGTAGCCAACCTTGTCTGTGACTCCTCTGACATAGGGTAGTACAGCAGGCACACGCTCGACTGTGGCTGGCTTCACTCGGTCACTGTGACGTAGGCGCGGGACCCGAAGCTTGTTGTCTTGCAGTACTTGCTCGACGTGCTGAAGCTCGGCGGCCAAATGTTTTCTGTCACAGATCCCTCGTGCTCTCTGAAACAAAGATTTTTCCACGGTAGCTAACTGTGAAGGATGATGGTGAGATTCACCATTTAAATATCGGTTGGTATGGGTATTTTTTCTGTACACAGTATGACCAATAGTGTTATCAGGATTTCGGATGACTAAAACATCTAGGAAAGCTAAAGTATTGTTTGCCTCTAACTCCATTGTGAATTTTATTTTAGGGTTTATGGAATTAAGGTGGTTTAAAAATGCAGTTACTTTGTCAGATGGTAAAATTGTGAAGGTATCGTCTACGTACCGCTTGTAGAATCTTGGATTTACAGGAGCAGTAAGAAGGGCTTTCTCCTCAAAGTCCTCCATGAATATGTCGGCGACTACGGGAGATACAGGTGAGCCCATTGCCACTCCGTCTACTTGCATGTAGAACTCTTCTTTCCACAATAAATAGCCAGATGTGAGGCAGTGTTTGAGTAATACTGCATATTCTGTGGGCATGTTGTTATCTTCTAGCTTTCTAGTAACAATTGAGATGCAGTGTTCAATAGGTAGGCATGTGAATAGTGACTGAACATCAAAACTGACCATAGTTTCATTGTCAGCGAGATGTAGGTCTTTTATCTCACTAACAAAATGGTATGAATCCTTTGTATGTGCTCTGGTATGTCCTCTTAGTGGTGACAGTATTTTTGCCAAGTGTTGAGCCAACTTATAAGTTGGTGAATTGATCTGGCTTACTATAGGACGTAGTGGAGCGTTTGGTTTGTGTATTTTCGGTAACCCATACAACCTCGGTGGTTTGGCACATGATGGTTGTTATAGATTTATAATGTCAAAGGCAACACTAGTTGTTGTCTCTAGTTTTTGTTTATGGTTATCTGGCAGAAAAATAAAAATCCTTTTTGTTATAACACGTGGTTGTATTAATTAATTATTTTTCCCGTGTCTAAAGTAAAATATAACAATTGGCGACGAGGATGAACCAAAACGAGTGAAATTAATTAGTTTTTTTTTACCAATTCCTATACCAGATTAGGAAATAAAATTTAACGCAAAGACAAACGTGTAACATAACCTACAAGTGGAATGAATGTTTTTACCATTACATGGATCTAATCGAATATTTGATTAAACAAGGAAAAAAATCTTGGATACAAGAAAAAACTAAAGAAGAATTAATAGAAATTGCTAATATATTAGCAAAAGAAACAAAATTCTTGGACACGCATACCATCAAAGACGTTCGAAAATACTTACGTGAATACGTTGATAAACAAAAAGAAAAAATTCGTACAGTCCGCTTAATCACTAGTCCTAGTTCTATTAGCACAATGAATTCTATCACTACTTTGGAAGTTTTCACCGGTGAAAATTGGAATGCGTACCAGCAACAATTTGAATGTTTCATAGTTCTAAACGACATCCCAGAGGAAAAGAAGGTCCCATTACTTATAACAAAACTTAGCACAAACGTTTATGATTTATTGACCACATTATGCACACCCATATCGCCGGTTACCGAAACATATAATAATATTTGCGAAAAACTGAGAAAATACTATCACCCATTAAAAAATTATGCCCTTTATCAAGCAGAATTTCGAAGCAGATGTCAAAAACCTAATGAAACAATAGATCAGTATATTATGGAATTAAAGAGACTGTCTAAATATTGCAATTTCAAAAATTTAAATGAAGAAATAAAGGAAAGATTACTAAATGGTACTTACTGTGATTCAGTTAAATTTGAACTGTTGAAACAAGCCGATCAGCCATTAGAAAGTTTAATTAACATTGGAAAAACTGTGGAGACAGCATATAAGTTGGTTTTTAATAATGAAAAAGAGCAGGAAAAATCACAAATGTTTAAAATACAAGGCAAATATTTTAACAGAAACCATAGTGTTATAGCTAGGCAAAATGTAAACCCAGCCATCCAGCAGAGTATCACATGTTTTTGTTGTGGTAAAAATGGACACATTAAAGCACATTGTACCCTACGAGAAAAATTTTGCAGTGAATGTGGTGTAAAAGGCCATATCTTTAAAGTGTGTAGAAAAAATAAGAAAATAAAAGTAAAAAATTTAAATGTAGTGCAAAAATTTAATTCAGAAAATAGTGATGTAAATTCGGATAACAACCTCCCCATTAAACACATTGAAAACTTTGATATCTTCTGTTTTAGTAATACAGGAAAAGTTCCATCAACTACTTTAAAGATCCTTGTAAATGGAAAGGTACTAGAGTTTGAGGTTGACACTGGGGCTGATGTAAGTACTATTACTTTACTCGATAAAAACAAGTTATTCCCGGAGCTAGAGATAAAAAAATGTAATGTTCTTTTTACTAATTTTGACCAGTCTACTTCTACGCCTTTAGGAGTTATAGAAAACTTGAGTATAAGTTATGAATCTACTAAAGTTAATAATCAGAAATTATTTGTTGTAAAAGATGGATTGCCCAAGGTTATAGGTAAAGATTGGCTTTCTTCACTTCAATTATGGCCCCCAAAGTTTGAACAAAGGGTTTGTGAAAAAGCGTCAAAAAATAAATTAATACAAAACATATTTGAAAAGTTCAGCAATCTTTTTGAGCCAGGTATGGGGGTTTTTCGAGGAGAACCAATTCATTTATTAATTGAACCAGGTGTTAAACCAGTATTTATGCCTGTCAGAACTGTTCCATTTGCTCTAAAAGATAAGTGTGAACTTAGTTTTCCTCCGTGACAATTGTTGGAGTCCTTTTTAAAATGACTTAAAAGTTGACCTCAAGGTTGTGCGCACAACCCAAGGTACAGTTCTACCTTGAGATAGTATGATAAAAAAGTTTATGTACCAATAAAATGAAATGAATGTTATGAAAAAATAATATAATACCCAAGTAAATGGGGGGCCCATATTTATTAAGTACCCGCGTGATAAATATCACGAAATAAAATATAAATGAAGTGAATTAATACTCCGATTCTCGGTATCTAATTAATAAATAAATATTAAGGAGAGAGAATACTAAAAGAAATAAAGCTAGCTAAAGGTCAAAAATATAAGAAAGAAATAAAGTACGTACAACAATTATGAAAAAATAATAGGCCTGACAATCAAAAAGGAATGTAATGAGATGTGCTTATCTATGGAGATGTGCAAGTATGAAAATAATTAACATGTAGGGACATGAGAACAATTAAAATGAGGTCATAATGGAATCCCCGCCAAAGCAAAAAAAAAACAACCACAATAAAAAAATGATAAATACGTTTTCGCTTAGATATATTTTATATGAATTTGCAAAACTTTTTCATATTTTCAATAACTTTACCCTAAATTTCTCTTAGTTTTTTTTTTGGTTAATGTAAAATTTTTACAATTTTAAAAGAAATTTTGTATATTAGTTACTAAAAAAAAGTCGAAAGTGTATCTACTCTATTATTTTAAGTTTCATAACAATAGTATTTTTTTATTATGGACAACGAAACATAAAATTATGTATCTGCTTTTTAAAAAAAAAATTGTCTCGTCTAATGTTAATAAATATTTTGTTTAAACAAACTTTAGGTGTGTAATATTGTATATTTTAAATTTATGTCTCAATTAAGATAAACATATTCCATAAAAGTCATAAAATAAAAAAGTAGTAATGTGTTTTCGACTATTATAAATAACTTAAATAATGAATACACGATAATGTATGTAAAGTTATTATCACAAGGAAATATAACTACCTAAACTGTGTAAATTAAGAAAAAATGTTTAAAACAAATATTTAACGGTAAACTATTAGGAAAGGTAAATTATTTTATTCACGGTATTATCTTATTGTATTGTTAAAAGTAGGTACCATCATACGATGTAATCTCAAACGTCTCCATATACGTGTACTTTGGAATTTAAAACAAAGGTGTCATAAATCGCTTACGCGGCTGGGATCACAACATGTATTTTGATCTGTCTGTTGTTATGTTAACGAAAATGATTAGGTACATTGCTTTGCATTGACTTCTTTGTTCTGGATATCTAAATATAAAATGTAATCAATTATTTTCGGTATAATATTGATTGAACTTTCAAATCATAAACGTTTTATCTATTACAATTTATTATTTTCTGAGAAAATAGTAAAGTGATGCCGACTTAGTATGTATGGATTATGAAAATAATTACTTTATTTAATACGATCTTGAAACTCATTATACTATGTTTGCAATTAATTACTTTAAATTTTGTTGTGACCAAAATATTGTGAGCCTCAATCCCTGACTGACAATGATATATGTACCTAAATATTATACGAGATTATATTATGATATAAATTTGTAATGCCTGTAAAATAGTAAAAAAAAATATATTATATATTTATTATATTGCCCAATTATATCAAATATGTATGTTGTATTTCAGTAATTGAGCACAAGCGATCTAACTATTGAGAACAAGTTCTATGTTTTTAATTCGTTACCAATTATGGAGAATGGTATCATCGGTCGAAATCTTTTTAAAAAAAAAATATAGATCACTTTCGCATTTTGATTCCAATATTTTAATATTATATGAACATCTAGGTAGATCGTAATAAAACCTATTTCAAACACTTGTAATAATTCCTTGGCAAGTTTTTTTTTTCTTTTATTTCACTAATGTGATTAGACGGGTTAAGATACTTAAAGTTTTGTGTTGAATGGCAAGGATTGTAAGTATAATAATTAATTAAATATTGAGAGATTTGACTGATAAAAATAAATTCAGTGAGTGTTTTATATACATTCATCATCATCATCATCATTACAGCCCTTCACAAGTCCACTGCTGAACATAGGCCTCCCCCAAAGAATGCCACAAAGCACGGTCCTGAGCCACCTGCATCCATCGACTTCCTGCATGTCTTACCAGGTCGTCACTCCATCTCGTGGGGGGACGCCCTACACTTCGCCTACCGGTACGAGGCTGCCACTCGAGAACCTTTCTTCCCCATCGGTTGTCGGTTCTTCGAGCTATATGGCCGGCCCACTGCCACTTCAGCTTACTAATCCGTTGGGCTATGTCGGTCACTCTAGTTCTACTGCGGATATCCTCATTCCTAAGTTTATCACGCAGAGAAACTCCGAGCATAGCCCTCTCCATAGCTCGCTGAGCGACCTTGAGCTTCCTCATACGGCCAGCAGTGAAGGACCACGTCTCAGTTCCGTAAGTCATCACTGGCAACACGCACTGGTTGTACAATTTCGTTTTAAGGTTTTGAGGTATGTCTGACGAGAAGATGTGTCGTAGCTTCCCGAACGCTGCCCAGCCGAGTTGAATCCGTCTATTGACCTCTCGGTCGAAGTTGGACTTACCTAGTCGGACTATTTGTCCCAGGTAAACATACTCGTCAACAACTTCGAGCTTAGTGCTCCCAACAACTACCGGCATAGGTGTGACATGGACATTAAACATGATCTTTGTTTTGTCCATGTTCATCTTAAGACCTATCCGTTGGGAAACACTATTGAGGTCATTGAGCATAGTGCTTAGGTCCTCCAGCGATTCTGCCATAAGGACTATATCGTCGGCAAATCGAAGGTGAGTGATGTACTCGCCATTGATGTTGATACCGTATCCTTTCCAGTCCAGAAGCTTGAAAACGTCTTCCAATGCAGCGGTGAAGAGTTTCGGGGATATGACGTGACCCTGTCTTACACCTCTCTGCAATTGGATAGGTTTCGTACTCTGGTTCTGTACTCGGATAGCCATCGTAGCCCTACTGTACAAGCACTTTAACACTTCGATATACCGACAGTCAACTTGGCACCGCTGAAGGGACTGCAGCACCGCCCAAATTTCGACGGAATCAAAGGCTTTCTCATAGTCCACATACGCCAGACATAGTGGCAAATTGTACTCTTCGGACTTCTGTACAACTTGCCGAAGGGTATGTATGTGGTCTATGGTGCTAAAGCCCTTTCGGAAACCGGCTTGTTCGGGAGGCTGGAAGTCGTCAAGTCTGCGCGCGAGACGATTCGTAATGACTCTCGAAAACAGCACGTAGACGCGGCTCAGAAGGGAAATCGGTCTGTAGTTCTTCAAGAGAGCGTTGTCACCTTTCTTGAAGAACAAGACCACCGCACTTCTGCTCCACGCCTCCGGTGTAATGCCACCATGCAGGACGGAATTAAAGAGCTTCTGAAGGACTTCAAGTACCGGTCTTCCACCCGCTTTCAGAAGCTCCGCTGTAATTCCATCCTCGCCTGGGGCCTTACCGTTTTTAAGGTGCTGGAGAGCCATCCTAATCTCGCTCAGACTGACATCCGGGATATCTTCGGAATAGTGTCGTAGTTATATACATTGGTTAGAGTAAATTGACATATAAACTTATTTCAGTAATGAGAATATGTTGGAATGTTAATAGGTAAAGCACAAGATCTGGTAGATAATTAGCTATTTCAGTGATAGTCGGATGCGCAAACGAGTATTATGGAAATGCTAAAAAGTCAATGAGAACTTTTCGTAGACATCAGGTTTTTAGAAAGGATAAAAAGTACATATAATATGATGTCAAGTTTATTGCAAAATGCATTATTATTGTTGCCCACCTATATATCTACATGATTATGTTAACATGATGTTGTAACGTTGGTTAGTACCAAAAATACGACAGGTTTAATGACGTACGAAATAAAATCGCATGCGTATCCTGGATTGACTCGATAATATTATGTATAACCTGACCTGATCATGATCATGAGATTATAATCTTTTTTTAATTATTTTATATTCTATTTAACTGCTTTATTTTACTCAATTATGTTTACTAAATTTAGAAATTATATAAATTTAATGGCTAAGTAACATTGTATTTTATTTTAATCTTCAATATTAAATTTATTTTTATGTAATAGGATTCAGGGTTCATATCATTTTATAATTAAATATTTGAATTCACAATATAATTTACATGTAATCATAAATCATTTTTTTATTATATCTATCAAGAAAATAATATGTAAAAAAAAAAGTAAATAAAGAACATTTCTTTTTTTTTAAGTATCGGGGGAGGTGTAGTGTATGTGCCTCAACCCTACTAGTAGTGTACGTAATACATGTTCTCTTAAGTTTATTAATCAGTATAATTAAAGAATTAGTCTCAGCAACACGTCTTCTCTTTCATTAACACCTGCCGACATCACAAAGTTTTCTCTGTAATGTATTTATTCGTTGTATATGTGTGGTGTACAATAAAGTATATACTACTACTACTACTACTCTCCGGAGTAAATGTTGTCGAAGATACTCCGCGAGCCGCTCACGTCCTACACCTATAGGTTTCGGAGGATACTTTCACTGCCGTTTCTGTGTATGCTGTTGGAGAACTGTGGACTGAGGTTCAGAATTAAAAATGCACGATTTATAAATTAAAACAGCAAGGGAGTGGCCAACGGTTCGACTGATTAATTAGTCGCGAAATATTTAACTATTTATTTATTGAACACGGTTGTTCAACTATGGTTGTTCACTATTGGTTGTTCACTATATATTTCAAACACAGATTTAATTAAAATACGCGGTAATATTAAAATTTCTATTGGTTTTAAAATTTCTATTCGTATTTTCAAAATATCTATTGGTAATATCAAATATCTATTGGCAGTAACAAATTTCTATTGGTATTTTCAAATATATCTATTGGTAATTTCGAATATCTATTGGAAGTAACAAATTTCTATTGGTAGTATCAAAAATATCTATTGGTAGTTTCG